GCGACGAGTCCCCTTGGGATTCCCTCCCTCTCTCTGCACCTCCTCCACTTGCGCGCTCTCTCTCTCTCTCAAAATAAATAAACTTTGAAAAATAAATAAAACACATAAGCACATAAAAGCACTCAATAAATATAAAATAGTATTATTAAATTATGATACTTCTCTCCTAATCTGTATGTTTCCCAAATTATCTTTAAACTTTATTCAGTTTGTTAAAAAGTATATAAAGTACACATATTAATGTTTCCTTTGCTTTTCAAACCTGCTGGCTCCTCTGCTCTCAGTTTTTTCTACGCACACACACTCTCACACATACAACACACATACACTCTCTCTCTCCCCAACCTCCATTACATATTTACTCCTCAACTGGCTGGTTTCTTTCTTTTTTTTTTTTTTAATGTTTATTTATTTTTGAGAGACTGAGAGAGCGTGAACACGGGAGGGGCAGAGAGTGAGGGAGACAGAATCCAAAGCAGGCTCCAGGCTCTGAGCTGCCAGCACAGAACCGATGTGGGGTTTGAACCCACAAATTGTGAGATCATGACCTGGGCTGAAGTCAGACGCTTAACTGACAGAGCCACCTAGACACCCCAACTAGCTGGTTTCTTAAGGCTCTCAAGAAGTTCTGGAAAGCAAAACTACTAATTACCTATCATCTATAACTAGTCTCTAATTATCCATCATCTATAACAATTAATCAATTTTTCCCAAAATAAAGGAAATTAAGGAAAATTGAAGATACCCAGAATCTTCATTGAAAGTAGGAGATAGATTCCGATATGGTACCCAGCAGAGAAGGAGTAAAGGGCAAGGCATGACCGGAAGACCCTGTCTCTCTTAGCATGCCGCTCCACTCCGATTCCTGCCTTGCCCCAGGATGGGCTCTCTGTCCCACAACTCTGCCTCACTGCTCATACTGCTCCTTCCAGCTACAGTGCTAAGCACGGCAGCCAACTCTGCTCCGAGCTCCTGCGCGTATGACTGGGGAAGCGCACCACAACACGTGCACAGAGAGGGTCATCACAGTGTGCTTTAGAAGAATGGAAGCCTTTACGAGAATGGAAGGCTGAGCATGACCAAAATGGCCACCACCAGGGGACTGGTTACATACATTACAGGCCACATAACACAGGAAATGCCGTAGGACAATAACAAACACAATGTAAGTGTGTATTTATTAATGTGGCATGGTTTCGGTACACTGTCAGTCAACTCAGGTGTCAAGACAATACTTAAAACAAATAATCCATTTTAGGAAGAATCTGATCCAGGCTTAGAAACAGTATGGCAGAATACAAAAACAAAACAAAACAAGAACGTTACTAACGGTATCTCTGGCAGTGGTAATATTGATGAATGTTTCTAGTCTTAATAATTTTCACATTTTAAAAGTTTTTTCCAATTAGCATTGTTAACTTTTATAATTTTTAAAATAGGTATTTTAACTAAAAGGGATTACTCATGGGATGCCTGGGTGGCTCAGTCAGTTAGGCATGGGGCTCTTCATTTTGGCTCAGGTCATCATCTCACAGTTCATGAGTTCAAGCCCCATGTTGACCTCTGCACTGACAGTGTAGAGCCTGCTTGGGATTCTTTCTCCCTTTCTCTCTCTGCCCCGCCCCTTGTCCCCAGTACATGTGCATGCAATCTCTCTCTCTCAAAACTAAATAAACTTAAAAAACAAAACAGAAAAAGACACTACTCAAAAAACACTCACTTCAAATGTCATCTGCTCCTGAAACTCTCCCTGACCTCACCACTCCTGCCGCACAGGTAATCTCTCTCCTGTGAGTTTCTAGAGTAGTTAATATACCTCAAATGACACTGACTGCATTTGTTTTGAAATCACAGCTTTCTATGTTTGCACTTGATCAGTTCTTGATGAGGAATGAGCCGTCTTATTTGTACTAGAATCCACCCCCAAACCCACAAGTCCTAAGTACCGAGCAAACCAATGAGCGTGGTGACTGGACACCACACAAGGCCGTACCATTTACACCTCAGGAGCCCACACACCTAACAGCTCCCTCATCAAACACTCCCCTACACTAATTAGGTCCAGAAGTAGCATCAGGGCCATTCTGGGGGAAGAAATTATGAATCAGAATATTTTCTGCATGGTGAGGTTTCTCTATTGGTTATTTATCCCATGTCTTCTGTCACAGCGACCAAAGACACCCTTACTCAACTTGAGACATGGGTCAGTATTTCCTTTTTTAAAAACATTTTTAATATTTATTTATTTACTTTTGAGAGAAAAAGAGAGACAGAGAGCACAAGTGGGGGAGGGACAGAGAGAAAATATGAAGCAGGCTCCAGGCTCTGAGCTGTCAGCACAGAACCCAATGTGAGGCTCAAACTCATCAACTGGGAGATCATGACCTGAGCCGAATTCAGATGCTTAACCGGCTGATCCACTCAGGTGCCCCAAGATGTGGGTCAATATTTCTTATCCAGAGGCAAAGTCTCCAATTTCTATCCATCAGTTTCTGCTTGAAATGGACAAGAATTACTTCAGCAATAATCCAAGCCGGTCCTTGACTCAGTAGGAACCATAAATATCTATTGTTTTAGGAGGAAATAAATGTTTTAAGATTATGTAAGTCTGTTTCAGGGAACTGACACAAACGAATGTTTTGAAATAACCAAGGCATTTCTTTTAAGGTTCAATGAAGAATGTGTTTTGAGAGCTAGGTGGGTGAGATTTAAAATAAAAACAACCACTGAAATCTTAGCTGTTCCTTAGCAATCTCAGGCTTCAACTGTTCCCTTCTCAAGGGCAAGCTAGAATACCAAAGAAACTGCTTCTGGAAGAAACTCTAAGCGATCTGGTCCAGTTTCCTTTTGGCCCTCCATTCTCCTCCCCAAGATTTTCATCAAGCCCATTGTGAACCTGAAACCACCCAGAAACGGTCTTGTTTTGTTCCTCTCCCTCTGCAGACAACTCACTTGCATTAAAGCTTCCTTTCTGAACAAAAGCAAAGCTATGAGCCACCGTGAAGGAGACCCCCGGGTGATTGTCCCTGATGAGATGTGGACTCAGGGGAGCACAGCAAAGAGACAGAAGAAATTCAAAAGGGGCTTAGCAGTTGACTCATCCACAAGCACGGCTATTGCACAGACGCGAGGCGTCCCGGGCCAGTTCCGAAGGTGAGGCAGTGCCTGGGGGACTCCAGTCACACAGGTAAGAACAGAGGCAGACATTCTAAATCCACCTCGGGACCCATCTTCCATTCCAGAAGCTGTGTGTCCAGGAAGGCTTGGAGATGCAAGAGCAAACCTTGCTTTTATCTCTTACCACCAGGGCTGAGACAGGTGATTGAAGAACCGTGGCTGAAACATGTCTTCGCAGGAAACACACCACCAGTGGTGTTATTTATACCGGTCAGCCGAACGCACACAGTCAGCTCACGGGATTTTTGACAAGCCAGGTGTGAAACACAGCCGTCATTAGACCTTGAATTAACATATACAAACAACTAACATAAAAGAGACTAGAGGCAAAGATAATGAATGAATGGTCAGAACTCATCACTAGGGTGTGCGCTCCGTGTGTTGCATGCACTATTGTTTGTGGCTGGTAGCAAAGCGTGTGGTGGTGTGTTCCTGCCCATCGCTTCCCAGCTCTGCCTGCAGTGCCTTTATTGGTAGTAAGAAATCAGCCACACTTCTGAGTCCTCCCACACATGGGGGAGCATTTACACCACAGCAATCTCCCTCTCCTCCCGTCCTCCCTCCGGGCGGGGTCAAGTCCTAACATTTGTCTGCTTGTCAATTATCAATACCTCCAGGACTAACCCACGGCTGCCAGACAGGAGCTAAGGAAGTTGGGCTGGCCAATCAGACTCATAACATGGGCTTGTAAGCTGGAAACCATGATATCAATATAAGGAAGGAAAGCAACTACAGAGGACCCTTGAATGACCCCTGGGTCAGGGGTGCCAATTTCCCACGCAGTCAGAACTCCATGTATAACTCTGACTCTCCAGAAACGTTAACTACCGATAGCTCACTGCTGACGTGAAGCCTTACTGATAACATAGTCAATTAACACACATCTTGTATGTCATACACACCATATAATATATTTTTCCAGCAAAGCAAGTTGGAGAAAATGTTATGGAGAAAATCCTAAGGAAGAGAAAATATGTTTATTTTCTAAGTACTGTACTGTACTAAATAAAAAATCTGTGGACAAGTGGATCCGGGTGATTCAAACCTGTGTTGCTCAACGGTCAGCTGTACTTTGATCATAGCCCTAGAATGTCCCAGTCACAGAACAAAGTACCACCCGCAGCCTTTTGCTTTATGAGCAGGATTATCAGATCCAATATACCTGATGAGTCAACTGAGGTTGACAGGCTGAGTAACCACTAAAACGTACAACAGCCAAGAGTCAGGCCTCCGATCATGTGACTCAGAAATACACAACGTTTTCACCAAGCAACCTCAGGCACTGACATTATCATCATCATAATGAAACCAAAATCAACCACATTTAACTGTCAGATAACCGGCAACCATTAATGGCCACAGATGTGTAAAAACAGAGATACACGAGGAGGGTGCAGACAAGGAGCTCAATTTTATTCATTGTCGCCAAGTTCAAGCTTATTCATATTACCTTCCAAAATGCACCCACCGAAAGTTAGTGAGAAATGGGGCCCCCGGAACCGAGGGGAACACGAATATCTGTAACAGAGAAGGGCTTATTCCGAGGTTAATATGAAAGGACTCTTCTTTCAATCCTTTAAATACTTACACTCTATCTACCCAATTGCTGTACCCAACTCAAAATGACACACCTACCAGAAAGAAGAATTGCTCGAATGTGAGCATGAGTTTTTTTGAAGCGTTTGGGTATTTATTTGTTAAACATTTTCTCTTTCAGACTTTTCAGTTATTTGATTGTGCTATGCATGCTTTTGCCATAGTTTCATGTAGAGCATCAGCCAGTAGTCAGAAGACTTCCAAAGGGCTAATGAAATTTTACTTACTGATTATTTAAGAAAATTCTTGTCATCTTGGCTTCCTATAAGTCACCAGCTTTTGCCATCGTTCCAGTACATTTCCATCACCTGTCACGAGGAGAAAGGATCTGATGAGATACAGGTATCAGAAAGACCACTTCTGGGTTTCTATGTTCTTTTCTGTTCTTCGTAACCGAAACATGGAGAAAAATAATCATCTCTTTCTTTGCCCTCAAAATGAAAAAGGAAGGAGACAATTACAACATAGAGAGAGACCAACGTAACCCCAAGAGAGAAAAAAAATTAAAGAACATTATTTCTACTGCTGGGGTTTGGGGTTTGGGAGAAGGAACCCCTAAAATGCCCTCCCTTATGTTTTGGGGAAGAGATTTTAGCCTGTTGCCTGGGAGGAAGTCGTATCAGAGTTTTCTCCCTCTCTGTTCTGCCCCTCCTTGCACATTTCTCAAAGTGAGTGATGAATGTGTCTGGCAGCAGGGGTGGGGGTGGGGGTTTCCCAGGAAGCACTGGCTCAGCTGGGCTGCTGCACTGAGTGGGGCGGCAGGGGGTTCCCTCCAGCTGGAGCCGGAGGACCAGGTCAAGGCTGCTGGAGTTGAACTCGTGTTTTAGTTTCAGAGAAGAAGGTAACTGAAGCTTGTGAGGTCTCCAACCCTGCTTTACCAGTAATTAAGTGGCCATCTGCGTTGATTCCCATTTGGATCCTTGCTCCAATTCTCCAACTGTTTAACATTTACAGAGTGGGGAAGATCAACTGTGAGGGAATCCAAACCACCACCATCAACAAGACACTGCATGGATGAAACCTTGGCTCAAGGTCCCACCACTTCCTAGCCACATGACCTTGAGAAAGTCCATTCATCTGTTCCCAGCCCCAATTTCTACTTTTCTGAAAGAGGATCAAATGCCCCCTAGTAGACTGGGTGGTTGAGAGGATTACATCAGATGAAAGATAAAATCTGCCAAAGTCAAGCATGTTCTGATCCAACAGGACTATAATCCCAGGACCCAGACGCCCTGTGCTCAATGACTGCACGTGCTATCCATGTGTAGAATTCAAATATTGGTGATTCATAGAAGTCATGGAGTACGTTATATGCTCAACAAAGTGCCTTCCTTCTCCCAAGAGCAAGACACTCAGAACAATGCTTTACTTTCCATTGTTACACTTCATAACACTTTAGGGTCCACAACCTACGGAAGGAAGTTCTGCTTTCTTCCCCTTCACAGAAGAGCCCCAAACGAAAACACCCCACTTCCGCCAGGCAGGAAGCAACTATTGCTTATTTTTTGTGAAGAATGTATAGCTCCATGTGGACAAAACTTACAAAACGGGAACCTGTTTCTCTGCGCATCAGTGTTGTCATTCAGAGCGAAGAGATGCAGGTGCATTATGAAATGGCCCCAGGCACTGAGGTGCCACGAGAGACACCATCACCTGGGTTGCAGAATAGACAGAAGCCTCAGGTTATCCGAACCGGTAGGGTGTGCATGTGTGTGTGTGAGAGTAAGAGGGGCATAAAGAAAGGAGAAAATGGACCAAATGCCACATAAACCCAGAGAGCCTCTGAGTAACAAAGAACTCTGCCCAGCAGGGAAGGACTGGAGAGTCAAGGGCTCAGAGATTATTATACCCAACACAGAGAGGAAGGAACGCCATGCTCACCGGCTAGCAAGAGCTCTCTGTGCTGGTCACTTGGCACGAAGACTCTCACAACCACGAACAGTGGAGAAGGGATTGACACGGGCTTGACCAGCAGGCTCGAACTCCACTTCTGATGTGCACCCGCAGGGTGCTCTTTGCCGGGCTACCAAATCCTTCTGAGTCTCAGTTTCCAGGCCTGTAAGACAGGGACAATGACACATAGTGTGGAAAGAAGTTATGTAGATCAGAGATGATGCACACACAGTGCTCATCATAGAGCATGTCCCACACGATGGCGATGGTTGTGTTTACTGATGCGAGTATGGCAGCCTATTAAGTTCACGGCTGCAACTGCAATGATGGCTTCGAGCCCTTTAAGTCCACACTCTTCCCTACGTGAAGAGTTTGCAGAGGTTCAAATCGGACTTTAGACAAGAGCATCAAACTTTCTGAAGCTGCTCTGAAAGGAGCGTTCAATAAAAATGCCCATCTTAGGAGACAGCCTTTCCTCATGTGCACACAAAACGCCCTAGCTGCGCATTTGTGAGCATTCTGCATATCAGCACTGCATTTCCTTTTTTGAGGCTGGATTCCTGAAAGAGGGAATGAATCATTTCCATCAGTGCTAATTCTTCTGGTGTGCAGTGCAATACCAAGTTTTCAGGGGGCATCTGTGGGAAAGAAAAGCCATGTGGAGGATGGCCAGTGGCCTGTCACCAAGGCTAGCCTCACCTCCCAGCCTCCTCGACAACAGTATGGATATGTCAACTGTGTTTTCCAGAAAAAAGAAAAGACCCACAAGAGAGGCAACACCAGCTTTTTTATTTACGTTAATTTATTTATACTGAGAGACAGAGAAAGAAAGAGAGAGGGTAAGTTGGGAAGAGGCAGAAAGAGAAAGAAAAAGAGAAAGAGAGAGCGCGCGTGCAAACATGAGTGGGGAAAGGGAGGGGGCAGAGGGAGAATCGCAAGCAGGCTCTGCACTGTTGGCACAGAGTCCAATATGGGGCTTGAACCCATGAACCATGACCTGAGCTGAAATCAAGAGTCATATGCTCAACCAATTAAACCTCCGAGGCGCCCCGACACCAACTTTTAAACAGAACTTTCTATTTGAAAAATAATGCTCCTTGACCCCATCTACACCACCCTGTTTGTGACTCACCCTGGTGATACTCACTGCTCAGAAAAGTTTATTTTACCCTCAAAACCAGGATACAATGTGCACAGGACGGTCTGTCTTGTTACCGGTTAGAGAAGATTTTTTTTTTTTTAACAAGACCCTCTGTCTTCAATTTAATGGAAAATATTCTAATAAGCTCATGGGATGAAATTCCTCCACCAAGTCGGTACTTTGCCAGCACTGTATTTACTCGCAAGAATAAGCGACTTCTGCTACTGATGTTAATGGATGACCCATCTGGCAGCAGGCGCTGTGCTAAGTACTGGGGTCGGCGAAGGGGCGGACAGTGCTTGAGATGAAGTGTGTTTAAGAGAACGCAGTACGGTGATAGTTTCACCAGAATATAAGCTATTAACTGAGCTGATGCACTTAAAGAGAATAATCTGGACGTGGACCTCCTGGCTGAGTTTCGACAGCCTAGTGCTTCTTAACCCTGCTTCTCAAACGATGAGGAGATTCCACAGCTGCCGTGCAAACACCTGTCTGAGGACCGAGACTCCTGTTTGGCAGGTACACTCCGTCCTGCAGGGTCAAAGGCAGCTTTTGCACTGAGGCCGCGCAAGTGGATGAAAGCTCTGGTGCCCCCAAGATGTGTCAGTTCAGACTCCTTGCCCCATCTCCCAGGAGCCAGTTCGCTAAAAGGGTCCAAGCTTCCTCCCAGGCCAATGGTGTCCTATGCTCATAAGAGCGCGTGCTTTGCAGTGGCTTAGAACAACGCTCCTGATGTGCCCTGAAGCCCCCTGCGTGGTGCTGAATTTCTGTAAGCCTCAGTTCCCTGCTCAGAGAGGGGCGGCAGCAGCCCCTCACCTCAGCGCTATGACAGGGGCCTGGAGACAGGATGCCTGTGAACGTTTTAGCGAGGCCCACAGCAAACAGGGTCTCATTAGATGCTGTCGCTGTCGGAGGAAGTCTGCCGTCCTCATCCCGGAGAGGCCAAGCAGGGGCGGGCAAGGTCACCAAAACAAGAGGTGTCCTTGTAAACTCAAATATGCTCCAGCCACCTTGCCAGGAGATGGAAAAGAGCTTGAAGAAATGATTCATCTAGTAATAAAGTGCAGATCACTCCGATCATCACGCACAGAGATCTCGGGAGCAAAGGGAGGGCGGCAGCCGCCATCAGAGGGCCGTTGGCCAGTGGAAAACTCGGAAACTTTGACACTCGGCACAAAGGAACAAAATGGAATCATGCACTCGACACCGCCCAGCCAATAAATGGCAGAGCTGGGGTTCAAACCCAGGCAGCCCGGTGTGGCTCCCGCTTCTTCACCATGACCGCACACGAACCCTCCGCGGCGAGGAAGACACGGACCAGGAGCAGGCCCGAGAAAGGCAAGAAACATCGAAACTCGACTGAAGAGAAGAGATGATGATACCAGACATCAGTTAATGGGGCCACAGAGTAAGAGGACTGTAAACAAGAACCTCAAGAAAAGCACAGTCACAGCAGAGACTGAAGTAGACAGCACCCTGAACATGAACTCGCCCTGGAGTCAGCACATGCTTGGGGTCGGCACTGACCAGAAGACACGAAAGTGGAAAGGACCTCACTCAGTGCCTGTATGTAAAGCACATTATGACCCAGAAACGCCTGCGGGGTCCCTGCTCTCTCCCTTCCATCTCTGCAGTAGAGGAGGAGGAAGGCCACCCCCAGTGGCTGAAGGAAGGAGGCAGGAGGGACGAGAAGCATGCTCCTGGTGAAGAGGGAAAATGCGCAGACGGGCCGGTGTCCACACGCCCAGCCAGCCTCACGTGTGGCCGGCTGCAGCCCCGTGACCCTGTCTCTTACTACCCATGCCTATGTCACAGTCACCCCCTGAGCAGGGAATGGCCTGAGATTTCACTCGCCACCAATGGAATAAGCAAGCACGACGAGATACATCCCGTTACCTCACATAAGCCTGGAAGGTACATGTGTCCATTTGGCTGCAAGATTCCCTCCCTCGCTGGCCTTGAGGAAGAGCCAGTGAGGGCGGCCTCCAGGCCTCACAGGGAAGGGGAAGGTGGAACAGGTCCTTGGGCCCTGGGCCCACAAGAAACTGCCAACAGCGCCACAAGCATAGAAGGAAAGCCTTCCCCAGTCGAGCCTCACGTGACACAGCAGCTCTGGCAGACGCCTCGACTACAGCCCTAAACGCGTCCTCAGCTAAATCGCAACCGGACCCCTGACCGGCAGAGACGGTGAAGCAGCGTGTGCACTGAGAGCCGGTTTGCATTGACACTGTTCTGTGGCTCCAGGTAATGAATACGGGAGGGAAGGGCAGCAGGCGAGGCTGACGTAACCACACACGCGTCTCAGAGAGGAGGGGAAGGGAGAGGGAGGCCCGGGGCCGGGGGCTCGGGAAAGGGGCCTGCCCGTCCACCATCTCTGACTCAGACCCAGAGGCTCCGCTCTGACCACACACGTTCCCGGAGCCTGTTCCAGCCACACAGAGGACGTAATGCAACACAGGGACCAAGGGGGTAGCGGTCTTACAAATGGTGGTCTGCACACCCGGCTGCCCTGCAAAGGCTACTTATGATTCAACAATCTGAGCACAGACACATTTAAAGCAGCAAGAGGATTTTTTTTTTAATGTTTACTTATTTTTGAAAGAGGGAGAGAGACAGAACATGGGTGGGCGAGGGGCAGAGAGAGAGAGGGAGACACAGGATCCCAAGCAGGTTCCAGGCTCCAAGCTGTCCGCACAGAGCCTGACGCAGGGCTTGAACCCATGAACTGCAAGATCATGACCTGAGCTGAAGTCGGATGCTTAACTGACTGAGCCCCCCAGGCGCCCCCAGCAAGATGATTTTGCTCATCATGGGCGCTATGCTGGGATCCTACCCCTCATAAAACAATTGGAACGAAAGAGTGTTTAAATGTGATGTAACAGACTTCAGCACTTCATGAAACTCGTGTTCAGAGACACAAGCTGGAGACTTTCCGTGTTAGTGGTTTTGAGAACAGCGTAACAAGCAAAACATCCAAAGTTCCATCTAAATGTTGCTAATGTGGGCTCTTTAAGAACCGAATATAAATGTTCTTAAGGCCCCTGAGCAAGTACCAATAACTTTCAGAAATTAACCCAAGGAGCGTTCCCACGCGGAGCATGTAGCTAAGACGGACCCGCTGAGCCACAGGCCTGTCCCTGCCCAGGTGCCCCGCTGCTGGCACGTGCGCGCGGGGAGGTCTACCGCTGTGTCGCTTCAGGGCTGGGAAAGCCTCATGCACCCTCAGGCCTAGCCTCGCAGTGACAGGTGACGACACACAGACCCAAACACACAGGGCCGGCAGGTTCAGGGTCGCTCAGAAGCACGAACCCTGAACCCCCCGTATGCCCGGCCCCTTTATACCCCCGTCTACCCAACTCCAGCCTCAACCATCAACGGTGGCGTCGGCAGTATCAGACATCCTGTGAGGGACGCACCCAGAAAGACCTTTCATGACACCATTAAGCCCCTACTTGGAAGCGAGCTCTGTGGCAAGAGAAGGAAATGACCTCGAGGACACATTTGTGTGAAAGGTTCGATTCATTTCCCAGAGCAAGGCCCAGCATTTTTGGAGGGAATGGAGATGTCCCTCAAGTCGGCTGCCTTTTCCTATGAGCGATCTACTTCTTATCTTTTTAAATAAGCATGAAGCAGGGAAGAGACGCTGGTGGCAGCGTGCCCCTCCCGCTGCCTCTCATGGTCCTGCCCCCAAACGCACGGAGCCAGACCACAGCCACTCTGGGCTCCCCTCCGACGCTAGCTCACTATGGTGGCTGGAGCTGTGTATCAGGAGCCGCTGACGCGAGCAAGTCACGCCTCTTCATATCTCTGGCAGAAGTGACCTCGTCTGAACCAGCTCCCTCATGGTTGGGAGGCCATTAGGAATGCAGACCAGAGTTCCCTTTTCTCCTAGAAACTTCTGTGTTTCAGATAAATAGCAACCTGCTTTTGTGTGTGATGACGCTGCCCCTTCCCCAGCAGCGGGCGTTACCAAAACAAAGGGGTGACACGGATGTCCCCGGGTCACAGCCCTCCGGAGCTCC